TAAATATTTTTAGTCGTCGACGTAACTATAAAAGGAGATCACATTCAAAGTCCCCTTCAAGAAGTCCAAGTTAGAGTCACAGAAGGAGAAGAAGATGAACAATTAGAAATATATTTCAAATTATCAAAACATTATTTTACATTTTTATATCAGTACTAATTTTCTAAGTTGTATTACTTTAGATATATTTAGAATTTATTAGAAAATCTCTATAATACTTAGTATCAATAGAATTTCTAAATATTTTATTTAACAAACTTTTTGATGGAGTTCTTAAGAAAGTATTATATAATATTTACATAGTGAGTAAATACTGAAGGAATCATTTTATTTATAAACTTTTTTAGAATCTTTATCACTATCTACCTCTATAATCACAAATCACTATAATTATATAAAATCAAATTAAATTTAAAAAATTTATTAATAATCTGTAATAAGAAATCATTATAACATTATTCATGAACAAAATTTTATTTATTTCCTTCTCTTTTTATTTAATTTATTAGTGCTACTACTGTAAAGTCTTCAAATATCAAACATTTAAAATATTTTTAATCTTTAAATAATTACTTATAAATTTAAGTATGAAACCTGTTAACTATATAATTTTCATTTAAAGAGGCAATTAAAAAGAATCAATAATAATAAGAGATTATGGATAAATCTTATAAAAAAATATACATCATTTTTGTTCATGCAAAATACCATAGTCTAAATTAAAATATTAATGGAACTTATAAAATTTATAATAAATATTTTGAAATATCTTGTTTATTTATTGTTCTATATTGAATAATTATGAAATAAAACTTAATGATTAAATAAAGTTGTTTCTAATAGAGTTGAAATTATGTAATTTTATTAAAAATGGTGTTTTTTTGACATGATGGAGGTAGAGGAAGGTCATTTAAATATTGATTATGATTTTATAATGAAATTTCGATTGCAAATGTTTGATTTTGAATTTTTATGAATGGATGATAGGAGTATTTAAAAAAGGAAAAACAAATTTAAATATTATAAAAATTTTATAAAAAATATTTAAATTTTATAATAAATTATGGTAAAAAGTGCATCATTTTAATGACACACTATTGGTTTGTACTATGGTGTTTGAGTTTTTAAGGTTTTATAATAATTAGCAATAAGATATAATTTTTTCAAATAAAACATTATAAAAAAAAATGGAGTAACCAGATGCTTCATCTATTGCATAAAATAACTTGACTGGACTAGCAACAGTGCATGGAGGAAATGAATAAAACAAATTACTTCATAAATTAAGTGATTAAAGTAGTCCTATGAAAACAGACATTTAGATAAATCCAAATAAAGAAATATATACAGAGGAAGAAATGAAGAACTTTACAAAAAGAGGAATAATTTCATTGATAGGAGGTGTAATTTTACATATAGAATTGGGAACTTTTTATGTTTGGGGATCAATTAGTAATAAATTAAAAATAATTTTTTTTTAGGTCCATATGTTTGTGCTTGGATGAGAGAAAAAGATACTGGAGTAACACTAAATTTCATGGCTATCATCTTTCCAATCCTTGGAGTAATAACAATGTCAGTCCTTTCATTTGGTATAAAGATTGCTGAGAAAATTGGATTTAAAGTGACAATAGGGATAGGATCATTTACTATTGCATTGGCTTTCTTGATAATATCATTTATCTAATAGATAGGAGGATTTATAGCAGTATATTGTATAATGGTTGGTATTTCTGGAGGATTATTGTATATGCTACCAATTATTTGTGGATGGAGATACTTCCCTAATAGAAGAGGTTTAGTATCAGGATTGACAATTGGTGGATATGGATTTGGATCATTTATATTCAATTTTGTATGCAAAGCAATAGCAAATCCTAATAATATAAAGCCATCAGTAATAGAAGTTGAAGATGGAAAAGATGTGAAATACTTCGATAGTGAAGTAGGAGATAATGTACCATTGATGTTACAAGTACTTGCTGCAAGCTATTTTGGATTGGGAATTATAGCAACAATAATGGTTAGATATCCATCTGAAATTGATCCTGATAAAATGTTAGCTACTTTAGAAGCAGAAGAAAAAAAGAAAAGAAAAGATGGTGCTCCTGCTCCTGCTCCTCCAGTTTTACCTGCTCATAAAGAATGTGTCGAAGTGTAATATATAATATTTATATTTTTTAGTTCTAGAGGTATGAAACATCCATCTTTTATAATTCTCCAATTGATTGTTTTGATGTCTTGTACTTTTGGTATGTTGATATCTAATTGTTATAAATATTATGGATTAGAATTAGGAATTGATGATGCTACATTAACAGCTACTGGTTCAGTTGCAGGAGTAATGAATGGATCATCAAGATTCTTTTGGGCCACTCTAACAGATAAGACATCATATAAATTCACTTTTACTCTTATATCAATTCTCAATCTAATAACTACTGCCATTTTACCATATAATAAAGATGGAATTGGATATCTCTTATTGATTGCTGTAGTCTATCTTGCAGAAGGTGGATTATTGGCAACATATCCAGTTATTTGTGCAAAAATTTATGGAAAGAAAATTGGAGGTTTGATGTATGGTTTCATGTTCTTCTTTGTTGGAGTATCAAATATGATTGGATATATATTATATGCTTTTGCAAGAAAGAAGATTAAATGGGAAGGAGTATTTTGGATTTGTTTTGCATTGAATGTTATTGGAATTGTTTTGGGTTTAATACTTAAAGAAGTTGGATATGATTGGAGAGATTAGGCAGTCATTGATGCAGAGAAAGAAAAAGAGAGGGAGTTACAAAACAAAGGATAATTGGCTGCATTTTAAAATTGAATTAGTATTATTTTTGGTTTCTTTTTTTTTAAGACTACTCATGTCTATAGTTTTAATCTAATATATGCATTCATTAATTATTTTCTATCTATTATTTAATATTGAAAATGGATAAAAATGGAGAATCAATCTTCACTTCAGAGTTTTGGAGAGACATAAATGAATAATATTTCATTGTCTAATCTCCAGTTTAAATAAGAGATATCGATATTCTTAAAAGTAAAGGTATTTTTGTTATCAATATGAGTAGCTGGAAATAGAAGATCATAAAAATGTCTAAATCCTTTAAATAAGTTAATTAGATAGAACAATCGAACAAAGCTATTCTAAACAAACTTAAATAATTTAAAAACAAGAATTTAGTTGATCTTTCTTAAAAGACAATAGAAATAGGAACCTATTTAAAATTTAATGGATGAAATGATAGATTAAGTTTATTTTAATTATCTATCAAATGGATTGTAGGATGCTTAAGAATTAATAAAGAATATATCTCTTTGTTCAGATGCATAATAATTGTAGATTTATAATAAAGAAGCAGATTTATTATCTAATTTAATGCATCAAATTGATTGGTCAGATGAATTAAGTATAGCAATAGAAGAACATCAATAATAACTTAATGAAATAAGTAATAACAACAAGAATGCATTATAAATGTATTCATTATTCATTTAATAATTAGTTTGGAATAACACATTCATTAGATAAACTTAACCGTATAATATACATACAATAGCTATTAAATTGGGGAACATAAATTAAAATTGATTAGATAGAGAATTACTAATCATGAAAATGAATTGAATATGCTAAAATAACTAATCATATCATAATAGGATTATTAAGTAGCTGAAAGTATTGGAAAAGCAACCATCAATAATTATAGTAATTATAATAATACTACTCTTCAGATAATACCATTACTGTTATATTTGATAAATATTTGAGTCAAACACCAGTTACTTTGAGTTTAGAGGAATTTGATAATCTTCAGAGATTACGAGAAGAACCATATGATTTAACAAATTAATAAAGCAATTTAAGGTCTGATGTAATTCAATAGGTATGATTGTAGGATGTTTTTGAAATGTAGATGTGCCATTATTGTAAATAGATGGTAGATATAAAAAATCTAAAGTAATGCCAATATAATCATTATTTGATGGGTTTACATGAATACAATGAAGATTTATTGATATGTCAAAGATATTAAATAAATGGGAAATAAATATAATAATATCTTCTTGATTTATATTCTGAAAATTACATAATAGAAAGTATGAATAATAAAGATAATATTTATAGATGAATAAATCATGTGTTAGAGATATTTTTGTTAAAATTGTTTAAAGTTTGATTTTGATTCTTATGAGACAACTTCTTATTTATGGATTTGTCCTTTGTGCAAAGTATAAATTAATTAAATTAATTTAGGGATTGTGTACTTGCTAAAGATGTTAAAGAAATGATATAATTTATAAGATGAAGAGACAATTCTTAGAACTTAACGGTGATTTAGAGGATATTTACAAGTCATCTTATTTTGAGAGTTTAATCAATGAGAAAAGGAGATAAATAATAGATATACCTTTAGAATTTATGAATATTCCAAAAATTGAATATGAAAAAAATATTTAGTAAAAGAGTAATAAAAAATAAAATTAAGTTAATTAAATAAAGAAAAAGATTAATAAAGTTGATTCAAATATAATTAAGAAATGTCAAAAATTATATCAATTAGAGAGTTCATCATCTTCAATAAAAATAAAAAGATCAAAAGAAATAACAACATAAAATACAATTTCTAGTTTGGATTCAATTAATTCACAAATGTATATATAATGATTTGTTAATTTATTTTATAATTACTTCAGATAAAAAGTATTATAATTATAAAAATCATAATAAATCTATTTTTAATAAAATAGTAAATTATTTTAACAACAAAATATAAACATTCAAAATGAATTGGCTTACTCATGTTCAAAAAGACAAAAACATGTAAAAATAATCTATGTAAATATATATAGAAATTAAGAAACTTATTTAATTTTAATCAATGCCGACTATTTATACTGAATTTTTAAGCAACTTTTTAATAATTCAATATCATATGAAATATTCCATTTTGATAATATCACTTTATTTTACAGGAACAATAGCAATGTTCTGTAGCTACTACCCTTTAGATCCTGTTGCATGTGTATAAAAGACTCATGGAATAGCATGTAAATTTGGCTATAAATATTTCAAGGTCAATTTAGTTTTTTCGAAAATCAATGCATAGAAGTTAAAAGTAATTCATTAGGATGTGAGCCCACATTAAATCTATAGGCTTGTATAATGTAAAAACAGAATTTAAGTGGAGATGAAGTTTAATGTAATAATCTAGATTTAATGAGTAAGGTTTTTTTGGAAAGAAATGTATTGATGCCAATGAATTTCATTTGAGACATCTAGAATGTAAGGATCACTTTTCTATTTATGGTTGTGTAAATATCTAACAAAAATAATGTTATTGGAGTGGAACAACTTGTTCTTAATATAAGGGTCCCATTCCTTCTGATAATGATTGCTCTTAAATTTTCAAGACTGCTGTTGCCCCTGAACTATGTTCCCAGATTTAGGAGATTCCATGTATAATATTTAGTAAAATACTGCTAGGTTATAATAACGGATTTAAAGGTGGATATTTATGTGAAAATGTGACTGATAGTATGCTTCAAGTGATAACTTGTGAAACTTCTGGATTGAACTAAGTAGCTTGCACATCTATCAAGACTCCTGGATAGAAATGTAAGTATTATTTAAAGGATTAGGTATTTTTTAACATGGGATATGTCGATAATTTGAGTAAAAAGATGAAATTAGTTGTTTATAATTATTAAATGAAGAAGCTTGTCTTGGAATTTCAAATCCAGCTGTCAAATGTGCTTGGAAATAGACAGGTTGTTAGATTTATGAAGTTAAGGATGACACTAAATGTTCAGATGTTTCAAACATTAATCCAAGTGTTTGTATGTCAATGTAAGAATTATGTGAATATGATAAATAAACAAAGACATGCAAACCAATTACAACTTTAAATAATATTGGTTGTAAGACAAAAGGATTAAGCAAAAATGGATGTATATAAATATAAGATGAAAAATGTAATTAAATATCAATTATATTTAGGTATATTCAATGATTAATTGGGATGTCATGAATTAACTGAAGATCAATTAAAGATGACTTTATGTGAAGATAATGTTAATGAAAATGCATGTATTAATATCACAACTCCATATTAAAATTGTTAATGGAATGGACAAAAATGTTAGAGAATTATCATCAATTAAGACTTAGATTGTCCTTTGCCATTGATTGATAATGTTGCATATAAAGTAAATGGAAATGTTTGTTAATCAATATCTAAAAATGGTGTTGGTTGTAAATATGATTAAAATCTTCATTTATGTGTAAAGAGTTCTGGATTTGAAAATTGCACAACTCCATATATTAATTTATTTGCTTGTGTTAGTATACAATAGTAAATATCTTGTAAATGGAATGAATAAATAGGTTAATGTGAGAATGTAGAAGTTATAGAATTAAGTACAAATTGTAGTGAATTAAGATTCTCAAATCCAAAAGCTTGTTCATAAGTTACTGAATTTAAGAATAATAAATTTATTGGTTGTTATTATAATGAAGATACTTCACTTTGTACAGAGATTAGTCTCATAAGTTTAATTGATATGGAATGTGAATAAAAGGGATTAAATAAGCATGGATGTACAATGATAAGCAAATTAGGATAGAGATGTAGATGGTATAGAAATGAATGTACAAAAATAAAGAGTAAAGAATCACTTGCACTTGTAAATTGTATAGAATTATAATTTGTTAATCCTGCTATTTGTGCATTGGTAACAGCCAATTCTGAACCTTGTAAATATAACTCTGATGCTTTTGGATGTGTAAATAGTGTTAATTATAGTGACACAGGTGATCATTGCATAACTCCTGGATTAAATGCTTTTGCATGTTCTTAAATTACAAGAAGTAAAACAGGATGCTACTTTGATAAGATTAATAATATTTGTGTAACTGCACCTGATAGTAAATCTGTTTAAGAAATTGATATAATTGCTTCAAATGAATTATTAACAACAGCTAAATGTGTTGCTAGTTCTCCAACATTAAATATTTGTATGGCCATAAAAACATTAGGAGAATCTTGTATTTGGAATACTAGATAATCTAAATGTAGTTATAACTCAGTTTAAATAAATGAAAAATGTTTAGATTATAATACTTAAGAAAAATAGAAGACTTTAGCAGGAGCAGAAGTTTATGTAAATGAAAATGTATGTGCCAGTATTGTAATGAACTTTGTAATATATAATTTATTTATATTTATAGCCTAATCATGATCCAGTAAAGGGTAAGAAAGTAGATATACTTAGAGGTTATTGTGAATATAATGGAAAAGGAAATTGTATCTTATATTAAGATAAACCTTGTACTGAAAAGTGTTGTACTAGTGTTTCAGGTATCAATGCTCATGTGTGTAGTAGATATACAGATTAATCAGTATATTGTTATTTTAATGAATTCAATAAATGTGTTCAATTAACTGATAATTAAACAGATTTAACATCAATAACAGCAGTTAAAGATTATTATAACTTTATGAAATATAAATGTTCATCAATGAATTCTAAATCTTGTTGGATGATTGAATGGTCTACTACTTAAAAATGTTATTGGGATGGATTTGTATGTACATAAATCAATTACAGTGATTATACCACATTCACTGCAACATTATTTCCACCAACATCATTAAGTAGATATGGATGTCAAGGAGTAGAAGCAGTTAAATCAAATTATGCAAAGTACTTTAGATATTTGGATACAAATTATTGTGCTTTATATGTAGTACCTTACATGTTAACTGATTGTGAGACTCCAGGAGTCAATGTTAATTATTGTTTAGGATACTCTAAAAACCTTTATTGTAAATGGAATAAATTAACTTTGAGTTGTGAAAGAATAGAAGATTATCTAACACTTTTGACTTGTGATGAAAATTAAAATGAATTAGCTTGTATTTCTAATCCTTATGTTCCATGTGCCTTTTTGGATGGATCAGATAAATGTGTATCCAGTCCTTAAAATGTTAAATGTAATGACTTTTCTCTAGCATCTTCTCCTTATTATGCTAAAGTTAATGAATAAGCTTGTAGAAACATTACAATGCCTGGTCAAATTTGTAAATTCTATGAACCTTTAAATTATTGTATTTATTCTAATGATTCATCAACAAATTGTGATCTTCCAGGAGTTAATAGTATTGGTTGTTATGCTAGAACAGAAGGTAATTGTAGATGGGATTCAAGTTTATTAGAATGTTATGAAGAAAGTGATGAAAATGCTTTAAGTACATTAAAATGTAATGATAACATTAATTTATACTTATGTAAGAATTTATTGAATGATAATTGTGAATGGTCTACTACTGATTTGATATGTACTTAAAAAGAAGCATTAAACAAAGTAAGTTTAACTAATTTATATAATGCTTAAACTTGTACAAATTTGGTTGGTGGTGGTTATTATTTTAGTAATTATAAATGTCTTGAAGTATTAACATCAAATAATGATTGTACTTCTAAAATAATGAATAAATTTGCTTGTTTAACTATGACTAAAAATCATAGATGTTTTTTTGATCCAAATTAACCTCCTGAATTAAAATGTTAAGAATATAAAGAAGAATAATTAACATGTTCTACAGATAAACTTATTAGTATTGATGTATGTATGAATTTACCAGCTACTTGTTATTTTGATTTAGATACTTTAACTTGTAGATCAATTGATATTACAGAATCTACTAAATGTTCTAATCTAATTTAAAGCAATTAAATTTTTAATAAATTAGCATGTTCTTCAGTAAGTGAAACATTAACTGATGCTTCTTCTGATGATTCAACTAGAATATGTACAAGTGATCCTATTGCTGATAATGCATAATAATGTTATTTTGAATCATATTGTTAATGGGACACTACTAATTATGGATGTAAATTAGCAAAAATAGTTAATGCTCAATATAGTAGTAATTAAAATGGTGCATATTGTTCATTAGCACCAATTACATTTTAATGTAGTAATATATATTCTAAAGCTATTTGTCTTTAATTAGCTGATAATTGTTATTTTGATATCTAATAAGGTGGTTGTAATGATTATATTGCTAATTTATATAAAGTTTAATCTTGTAATTAATTAAATGGAAATTCTTGTATAAGTAGTAAAACTGAAAATGCTTATTGTAAGAAAATAGCTTTAGATGGTTATGATTTTACTCCAGCTTGTTCAATTGATCCATCAGTTACTGATTTATGTGATGATGATGTTTTTCCATCATCTATTTGTTCATCAATTACACCTATAAAAGCAGATGATTGTATTTTTGCAACTGATAAATGTTATTATAAAGATAATTCTTGTGTTGTACCATCTAGTACAGATGTAATTACATGTACAACTCCTGGTGTTAGTAGAAGTTTATGTTTGACTATAGATTAGAAATGTGATTTTTCATCAGGAAAATGTACTAATCTTACAATACCTACATTAAATAGTGATTAATCTAATTATTATTATGTTTGTAATGAAGTCAATTATTTAATTACTTAACATAAATAATATGCATGTGGTCAAATATCATCAGTTCCTTGTAAATATGCATAAAATTAATGTTAAAGTGCTTTCTATGATGATTGTACAAATTTAATTGGAATCACATCTAATAAAAAAGCATGTATTTAATGTAAAAACAAAGCTATGATGTATGATTATGAATAATAAATTTGTTAAGAAAAAACTGATCTAAGTTCATCATGTGATACATTATTAACTTAAAATAGTTGTTAATCTTAATCTACAAATTGTGAATGGAATGATTTTATCAGCAAATGTGTTGTTAATCTATTAAGAATAAATTAAAGTAGTTGTATAAATCTAACAAATACAATATTAACTAAATGGGATAGTTCAACTGATACTTGTATTAAATTGACTTTAAATTAAGCACAATATTCTTCAGGTTGTGTGAGTTTGGGAAAGAAGAGTTGTTTAACATCAAAGAATTCATGTTGGTTTGATACATAAACATAAAGTTGTATTGAAATTGATACAATACCATTATCATGTAGTGAAATAAATGATGTTGGTGGATAATAATAACATTGTTTATTATCATTTAAAGAAGCTTGTAAATGGGAAAATAATTCATGTGTTTCAGCCAATCTTGAAACTGATACCTGTTCTGTTATGAATAAATATGGATGTCTCAATATTAAATAGAATATTTCATGTGGATGGTCCAATGTTAATGTTGCATGTATTAAATACACAAATACTAATTATTCTGGATGTAAGAATTATATGTGGAATAATAATTATTCATAAGTCAATCCATATTTTTGTTAATTATTATAAGGTAATGAATCCTGCTTTTACGATTTAAAGACATTCAAATGTACAAATGTTGGTTCAACTGATTTATATTGTAGTAAACATTAAGGTATCAATAAATTGGCATGTTTAACTAGAACATTAGATAAATGTAAATTTGATTCTTCTATCAATAAATGTGTTCCCATAACTGAAACTGATACTAACTGCAATGCATCTTTGAATAAGGTATCTTGTCTTACTGTACCTGGAAAATACTGCAAATTTTATCTTAATGAATGTAGTACTTTGACTTTAGCAACTGCAACTGTTTATGCTAGAGCAACACCACCAATAGGTTAAACTTATTCTGCTAATGCCTGTGTCTATTATAATAATGCATTTAATGATGCTTATTTTATTTATGATGATAATAAATAATATTGTGTAGATACACATTATTTAAAAGAATATCCCAGAAAATTTATAGCACTATGTAGATCAACATCAATAAGTGAGAGAGTGTGTTTGAGAAAAACAATCAATAATTGTAATTAATTTAAATATATATTTAGGTAAATATGTTGATAATCAATGTCTGGATTTAAGTGCAGATGAAATATAATAAGAAACATCTTGTAATTCAGCATATAATTGGAAAGCATGTATTTAAATAAACAATTTATGTAAATTTTTCTAAGGAACCTGTTAATTAATTACTGCAACTGATACTTGTGCTAATTTAGTATCTACTGCAAGTAATCCACTTTATGTTGGTCCATAAGTCTGTGCCTTTTTTGCTAATACTCTATGCAAATATGACTCTGAAGATTATGATTGCAAACCAGCAGCAACTTCTAATGAAACTTGTTAAACTCCAGGTCTAAGCAAAAAAGCTTGTTTAGAGTCGACTACCAAATCCTTTTGCTATTTCAATGCAATAACTAATAAATGTGATTATACTTATGACAATACTCTATCTTGTTAAGATGATTAAACTCCTAAGACTTGGTTTCTTAATATAGCTAGATGTTATTATCTAAGAAAAGCAGGCACTGTAATATTATGTATATTTATTTTAGACTTGTTAATTTTTAAATGGAGAATGTACAAACTTCCCTGAAAATAAATTAGCTGAATGTAATAGTGATATTAAAACAAATTTAATTACTTGTTCTAAAGCTACTGTAGGATATTGTTTTTACATTCCAAGCACTAATTTATGTTACAAAGGAACTGCTACTTCAACTAATGCATAAGATTGGAGTATTGGATTGTCTTTTAATAAAAAAGCATGTTTAAGTTATTAACATGCTACTGTCAAAATTAATACAATGTGGGATGATATTAAAGGTTGTGTAGAGGCTACAAGCAATGATCTAAAGAATTTATAATGTGAATCTCCTGTTAATATTTATGCTTGTTTATCTATAACTAATCCAACTCAATTTTGTCAATATGATTTGGTTGAATAAAAGTGCAAATAATTTAATTATATTGTACCTCCTGGTTAGATTGGTTTATGTAGTACTTTGACTAATGTAAATAGATTTGAATTTTGTTAATATGCTAATGATGATTGTGCATATAATTCTGCAACTCGTAATTGTTAAGCATTAACAACTGCTGATTTTACAATTGCTTCTGCAGCTGATTGTTTTAATAGAGGATTCAGTAAGTCTTTCTGTATCAAATTTGCTTAATGTAAGTATAGTGATGAAAGATAATTATGTTATGGTGGTAGTATATTCTGTAAAGATAAATCAATTGATACATGTTCATCTGTAACTATTGAACCATGTTGGATTAAAAATGATACATGTACAGGTATTTCTTATACATAATTAAATGCTGTTAAATGTTCAGATGTTATTAATTAAGTTGGATGCACTAGTATTACTAATCCAGATTAAAAATGTTAATTTAATATTTAAACATCAATTTGTGAAGAAATAACTCAATTAAATCTAAAATGTACTGATTATAATTATGTTAATACTTATTCTGTATGTGAAAATACTTAAGATGTTCCTTGTAAATATGATTTTGTTAATAAATCTTGTAAATAAGTATTAAAAACAGATATTTTTGAATGTGATCGTGGACTTAATGAATAAGCTTGTTAATTATACACTAGACCATCATTATAATGTTTATTTAAAAACTTCTGTTTTGGTCCTACCTATGGTGTTAATTAATGTTCTGATTCTATAAACAAAGAAGTATGTTTAGGATATAATTATTATTGTACTTGGGATGCTGTTAATAAAGTTTGTTAAGACTTTGACATTACTGGTAAAACTTGTTCTGATTTATAAAATACTTAAACTGTTGTTTCTATTTAAGTTTGTTATAATAGTTAAACAAACTCAGGAGCTTGTGTTTATAATACCTTTAATAATACATGCAAATTGATTTAACCAATATCTTGTTATGAATTAGAAACTCAAGAATAATGTACTTAATTATTAGATCTCCCTTGTATTTGGGCTAATAATAAATGTTCATTTATTTAATTAAGTACTACTGATACTTGTAATTATATTGGAAATGTAGGATCCAAAAGAGCATGTCTTGATGTTATTAGATAGGGTTAGATGTGTCAATATGTTAATAAAACCTGTTAAACTTATATAGAAAACTTTAATGATGTTAATTGTGTAGATAATATTAACAAAGTAGCCTGTGTAACCTAATAGGCTAGTCAATGTATGTGGACCACTTAAACAAAAGAAATCTTTATTAATAAAACTGATAAGATTAATTACATTAATGGGATTTGCACTTAATATATACCTAATTCTTAATAAGATTGTAGTTCCTCTTTAAGTTATGCTTCATGTTTTTCTGTTACAAAGCCTGGATCTTTTTGTAGATGGCTTAATGGTGAATGTGTTTCCATTCCTGTTACAATTGTTTAATAAACAATCTATTTTAATACATATACATTAATTAATGTAAATACATGTGGATTAGTTAATATTAATAAAGTAAGGTATTCAGAATAATCAAAATCATGTGTAATTCTTAATGAAAATGAAGTGATTTCTTGTAAATGTGGATAAGAAACTAAAGGTTTAAATATAAATGCTTGTTTGAGTATTAAAAATCAAAATTGTAAATGGAACAATATATTGAAAAAATGTGTTGAATAAAACTCTAAATGTGATTTTAATTGATTTATAATTAATTTATTGAATTTAATTTTATAAATTTTAATGTTAAATCTATAAAATAATATTGTTAATAGAGTAGATTAATAAAGACTCATTTTATAAGTTTACTCATATCAATATCCTTGAACGTGGGGTAATAGCTCATTTGGTAGAGCGTATGCTTAGCATGCATGAGGCGCTGAGATCGAAGCTCGGTTGCTCCATATTTTTATTATTTTTTATATAAATTTAACTTTTTTTTTTTTAATAACTAAAATTATATATAAATCCTTTTTTTTATAATTTACATAACTTATAAGAAAAATATTATTATGTATCAATCAATTAATGATTTTATTTAATGTGTTATTTTCTCTATATCTGAATCTAATCTTTCAATTTAATTAAGCAAACGATAATCATAATCTTTCTCTTTACCTTTTATTTTTTTTTACATTTTGCATAAATTTTTTTATTTCTCCTTTATCTTCTTTTCTATCTCCTTTACTCTCTCTACATTCTTTTACTATCGTTTTTATATGAAATTTGAATTAATCTCATGATCATTTTCTTAATCATATTCAAATGATTAATTTTATGAATTAACATGAGATTATTCTTTAACTAATTTGTTAATAAGTTAATTTTAACGTCTAATCTATTATAATTAAATTATTATAATACTTCTTAAATTTGTTATTTGTAATCATTAACTAAATTTATGTTATCCTTCAACTAACTCATTAAAAGATGATGATCTTGATCATCCAATGAAACTGATTGAGACATCTCTTGATATCCTCCTATTTCAATCTCAGCATTTCTTATCATTACTAATTATTCTAATTCTGCTATCATCCCCAATGAATCTTAATATGCTTTTTATTTTGTCAAAATTATTTCATAATTGTATTCTAATTCCAATTCTAATCGTTTCAAGGCTTTTTAGAGGCTTCCAAATATCTTCTCTGCTTAATCTTGAAAAGTCATAGCTGTTAAATTGAGAAAAATTAAAATTATTTAAATTTCCTTTTTTTTTTGTTGCTTTTATTTTAATATATAAATATTAATTAAGTTATAATGTCTCAGTATTGAAGTGTATTCAAACCTGTCTATATCATACTTTTTTTCCTCTCATTTTATAAATAATAAGATCCCTGACTCAGTATTTAAGATTTTATCAAAGGCTTATCTTTTTATGTATCCAACGATTGAGATTTAGAGCAATAATATCTTTATTATATCTATTATAAAGGCTCTTTGCTTTAAAAATTGCATTCAGTATTTTCCAATTTATATTGACCTAAATTATCAAAATCATTCTATTACATAATGCCTCTTTTGGAATGATAATCAATTAGTAATCATTCAAATTAAAATTTGTTTACCCTGTCTTTGATAAAGTTTGCTTTTAATTGCTATTAAGTTCTATTTATGATTTTGACATATTGAGATTAGAACTTGGAGTTGGAGGAGATGCTAAAGATGATTTTCTATTGTGAAATGTGCTAATATTTGTAATAATCTTTGGATCCTTGCTCTTTGGTGTAAAATCATTAGAATAGAGGGACTGTTTCTCAGAATCAGAGATAGTATTTGATGCCGTTGTAGCAAGCAATGAACTAAAACTTTAAAAGGCAGGTATTTTCTCTATAGGTTTGCCATTTGATTTAATTATTCCAGTAATCCCTTCCTTCTTATTCATGGTTTAGGTTCTACCTTTGAATCGAGTTAAAAAATCCATTGATTATTAAATTATGAATGGTTAAAAGAGATCAATCAAATATTTATAGCTATCAAAATTAATTAATTAGAAAGATATAGTTTGAAGGATAATTCATTGTGTTATCTTTTATTCTTATATCTCTCTATTTAAATATATTGATAAATAATACACAATAATATACATATTAATAAATATGTTATTGACATAGATAATTAAAAATAGAACTAAATTAATTTAATTATAATAATTATATCCATTGAAAAAGAGTATCTTAAATGATATAATAGAATTAAAATGAATTAATAAAATAGATTTGTATTATAAATTCTTATACGTAAAATTAAGATAATTATCTGATGATTTTACAACTTAATATCCACTTGATCTAGTTTATTTTGTGATATTATAAATAATATAGAGATGAATATGTATGAAATATTAGAAAAAGTGATTAATATATTTTAATTAATTAGTAAATATGATTTATTAAGAAATGATACAAAAAATAAAATAGAAATTATAGAGGATACTACCACCATTTATTTAATGAGTATTCAAAATAATAAATAATTATATAATTGAGATAAATGATTAGGATAATAAACTTATAGAAATAATATTTTATAATAGTTAATCTAAAAATTACATAGAAATTATTATTATATAAGATTAGTTATCTTGAATATATATTTAAAATGTTTTGATGATTTATAACATCATCATTGATTATTTCAAATACAAAACATCAGCTATATTATGATTTTAATCAATATAATTTATTTAGTATTTTTCGTTATGAATTAAGGTTTGAATAATAAGAGCAAGGCTATTATAATTAAATAGCCTTATCCAACTTTTATGAGAGCACTAAATTTAAGTAAAAATACTAAATCAAATCATGAAATACCTAAAGAATAACAATAAATAGCAACCTAAAGAACTTAAAGAACCATCATACCTTCAATGTATGAAACTAAGTTAATATTATAAATAGAAAATCAATCTCAAATAAAAATAGTTAAGAAAAGATAAGAGTTTACGATGTTTTCAAATAGATTCCCAGAAACAAAAGCCAATCTTATCATAATCAAATTAATAAGATGGATGAGTCAAGAGATATACTAACTAAACTTAATTAGCAGAAAATAATCAATGTTGGTAAATATTTTAAGTTTAAATGAAGTAAAGATTGTTAAAAAACATCTAGATTTTTAGAACCAGTCTAAACAACTCATCGTATTGAACTACCTCCTTCAAATAAAAAAAGATCATATAGCAATGCATAACCTATAGATAAACTATTTAAGATGAATGACAACTCAATATCATATATTAAGCCCCCTTTAGAAACACAAAGNTTCATTGTGTTATCTTTTATTCTTATATCTCTCTATTTAAATATATTGATAAATAATACACAATAATATACATATTAATAAATATGTTATTGACATAGATAATTAAAAATAGAACTAAATTAATTTAATTATAATAATTATATCCATTGAAAAAGAGTATCTTAAATGATATAATAGAATTAAAATGAATTAATAAAATAGATTTGTATTATAAATTCTTATACGTAAAATTAAGATAATTATCTGATGATTTTACAACTTAATATCCACTTGATCTAGTTTATTTTGTGATATTATAAATAATATAGAGATGAATATGTATGAAATATTAGAAAAAGTGATTAATATATTTTAATTAATTAGTAAATATGATTTATTAAGAAATGATACAAAAAATAAAATAGAAATTATAGAGGATACTACCACCATTTATTTAATGAGTATTCAAAATAATAAATAATTATATAATTGAGATAAATGATTAGGATAATAAACTTATAGAAATAATATTTTATAATAGTTAATCTAAAAATTACATAGAAATTATTATTATATAAGATTAGTTATCTTGAATATATATTTAAAATGTTTTGATGATTTATAACATCATCATTGATTATTTCAAATACAAAACATCAGCTATATTATGATTTTAATCAATATAATTTATTTAGTATTTTTCGTTATGAATTAAGGTTTGAATAATAAGAGCAAGGCTATTATAATTAAATAGCCTTATCCAACTTTTATGAGAGCACTAAATTTAAGTAAAAATACTAAATCAAATCATGAAATACCTAAAGAATAACAATAAATAGCAACCTAAAGAACTTAAAGAACCATCATACCTTCAATGTATGAAACTAAGTTAATATTATAAATAGAAAATCAATCTCAAATAAAAATAGTTAAGAAAAGATAAGAGTTTACGATGTTTTCAAATAGATTCCCAGAAACAAAAGCCAATCTTATCATAATCAAATTAATAAGATGGATGAGTCAAGAGATATACTAACTAAACTTAATTAGCAGAAAATAATCAATGTTGGTAAATATTTTAAGTTTAAATGAAGTAAAGATTGTTAAAAAACATCTAGATTTTTAGAACCAGTCTAAACAACTCATCGTATTGAACTACCTCCTTCAAATAAAAAAAGATCATATAGCAATGCATAACCTATAGATAAACTATTTAAGATGAATGACAACTCAATATCATATATTAAGCCCCCTTTAGAAACACAAAGGAAAATCTCAAAAATTAAAACTAATTTAAAATTATAAAGAGATGATAATATATTAGATTTGTTACTATTAAACACTTGTGAATTAAAAAAAAAATTGTCAAATAAATCAAGTAACAACAGCAGTTTTATTTGTGTTAGACCTGGAAAACTGCCTAAAGACTTCTTTATTTATAATTAATGATATATAATTAATAATAATATAAGATATTGATAAAATTATATATTAATGCTAAAATTTTTAATATTGTTGTTTAATAAAGCATACAATTCTATTTATTAGATAACTTATTTACATTATTATTTGATATCTCACTTTATCAATATATATAATTAATAAATTATAATTGATTATAGTTCTATATTGGTTTTGAAATAAGAAAGATGAAATACAGAATATCCATAAAGAAATAGGTTTGTAATGTTTTTAAATTAGAATTATAATTATAATAATTTTCTGAAGTGTTAAGAGAGATTAAGTAAGAAAAGATTAGAAACTGATTATAATAAAAAAGAGTTAAATTTATAATTTTGAAATAATGTTTAAATGAATAAATAAAGATAATTTCCAAAAAGTTAGATATAAAATATTAAATTTGATTATACTCTTTAAATTATGATTGTAATAATTAATGATGCGAATATACTTATCTATCAAGTTTTTTATGTTTATTAAATTATATATATTAAAAGGAGTGAAAATTCAAATATAATTAATACGCATACTTCTAAAAAGCATTGATTATTAGATATAAGATATAAGAGATTAAATTTATAGAATTTAAAATATAAGCAAATTAATAATTAATAGATTTTATTTGTTTATTTATATATAATTAATCGATATTCTAAATATAAAATGAAAGATATGAATAAGCAATTAATATATAAATATTAATCACCCATATATTTACAAATTTAATAAGGTAAAATTTTTGGTTTAAGAAGATTTATGAATAAGTAAATTCAGATGGATGATGATAATAAATAATAGAATTTGATGATCATTTGAAAACACTCTTCAAAAATTTATTAATTATTATAAAAAATAAAAAAATTATGATTGTACTAATAAATTTAACTAAAATTCATTATTATCATAAATCTTATTATTGACTTTTAGTATACATTTTTCTTGAATTTGATTAGACTGATATTTCATTTTTACTAGAACCAGAAATTCCAAGTTCTTATTCTAATTCATTTAAAGAAACTTCTTATTTCTAATCCATTTCTAAAATAAACTAAAGATAAATTACATTCTTTATTTTCATCCTCATTTTCCTAATCCATATCAGGATAAAATGAAAAAGGAACATCATGAAAATGTATTCCTGGAGAATTCTCAATATAAGATAAATAATCATAAACAGTAGAAACAATTTTATTTAAATCTTCTGTTTTATTTCTATTTTCTACATTCTATTTAATAGGAAAATGTAATAAATAATCAGGTGAGTAATAATCATAATAAATATCATTAGATGGTATAGCCTAAATAAAAAATGATAAATTACTTAATCAATTTATTAACCTAAAGCAATTCCTGTTTCATATGCCCAACATCTTGAAACATTTGATATTGTATATCCACCACCACCAAGTAGAATCATAGGTGTTCCAAATGATTTCATATATTATACACAAGCACCATGACCTCTAAGTTTTAATATATTAGAGGATATACTTAATAGATAAATTGAATCCTCCTAATTTATCTAATGATAATGAATCAGCTCCACATTACATTACAATACAATCTGGTCTATAAACTTACATTACTCTGCTTGTAATTTTTTTGAACATCTCTATATATGGTTCATCAGACATTCCAGGTTTCATTGGAACATTAACTGAATAATATCTACCAACTCCAACTCCAACAGAATTCAATTATCCTGTTCCTGGATAAAAATCATCTCCATATTAATGAAATGATAATGTCATAACTCTATTTGTTAAATAAAATGCTTCTTCTACTCCATCACCATGATGACAATCAATATCAACATATAATACTCTCACATATACTCTTAGTAATTCTAAAATGCATAAAACAATGTCATTTATATAACAAAATCCACTTGCTTCTTTCTTTTTAGCATGATGTAATCCACCAGACCAATTTATAGCTATATCAGCTTAACCAGTTAATATAGAATGTGCACAATCTATACTAGCTCCTGAACTTAATTAACAATAAGAAAATAATCCAGAGAATGTAGGATTATCAGGTGAATCACCAACTTTGAATTCAGAATTTTCTGTTTTTATCTTTTGTTATTGACTCCATTTAATAATCAATTTAAATTCTTCCAATAAATTTTCAGGTATTACAGATTCATTATTGGCAGAGCAATACTCTTTAACAAAATTTATCTTATTTTAACTCATGAATTAACTAAGATAAATGATATAATCAGGATCATGAAATTTTCTAATTTCTTATAATTACGCTTCTCTTATTAAATAAACATCCATTTAACGAAAAAGACTTAATATATGATAGTTTATTTCTACCCATAATTGACGATTAAATTATGTGCCATAATGATTCTCTTTGGTTTCATTGGATGCTCTTTTCCATATTGAAATTTTCCAATAAATCGATTATAAAAGTAAGCCACTCTTCTACTAGAATCTGAATCAGTCTATATCATTAATTAAAATATTTTATTATTATTAATAATAATAAAATATAATCTTTGTTTTAATTTATATATCTAATTATACTATATGAATAAATAATGATTTAATAATATATTATATGTTACACTATTAATAATATAAAAATATAAAAGATTACAAAAAAACATTAATAACTAGATTAATATAATAATATTTAAAAGATATCTAATATAAAAATTGTCATTAAAAAAAAACATTGAAAACAACAAACTTTTAATCAATTTTGTATTTCATTATTTACATTAGCTTTTTTCGAGATGTTCATTATATATTCTAAATATAATTTAATAGATTACCAATCTCCAAATAATTCATAATGCTCAATCCTTTAGTATAAATTTTCTTGAAATCTGTTTGTTTCTTTAATATATCAATCTCTATATGTTTTGAATCTAAAATTGCATATTGAATTTTCTCAAAAACACTCTAATATTATTATTGCTTTTATCTAATTAAAGTGATTCTATCTTAAACTTTAGGAGTACTTATTATAGGATCTGAACTTTTCCTATCTAAAATGGTATTAAATTCTTATTTTCCTGAATCAGAATAAGTATCAGTCTTGATTTTGACTATATTTTAAGGTTACTAAAAAGAACTGTTAAAAGTAGACACTGTTTCAATGTTACTGTTGGATTTATTATTCATTATTAAATCCACTATATCAATATTTGTATCTTCCCCTAAACATTTTTCTTTAATCTGCTCTAGAATTATTGTGGATGTCATGTTCGTTTCTTGACTACCTAATATTTTGAATTTTCTATTCTCAGGAGCATATAAATCAATCTTTGGTTATAGTTTTATTGGTTTTTATTCTATATTTTTAGTTGATTGCATCATTTAGATTATAGATATCTCCTTTTAATTTTGAATTACTGAAATATATGCTTTAAATGGAATTGAATTTAGGCATTATATTACATAATTACCTACTTTTGTAAATTCATAGATAAATGTTTGATTTTCATAAAGAGGAGGTGTTTCTAATTCTTCTTCATCTTATTATTGATCAGTTTATGAAATTGACAAAATAAAATATCTTTCTTAACAATAAATCTGACTATTTGATTAGATTTTGAGAACTTTGATTGTTAAAACATTGTTGAGTGAGATTATTAATGATTAAGGAATAAATTAGAAATTTTTGATTTCTAATAACATTAAATTAAATATATAATCAATTCTTGAATTGTGGCGATTCTGATGGAAATAAGCTTTTTTAACAATTTAAGCCCTTCATTAATAATTAAGTAAATTATGAAGTCTTATCTGGTATTCTAACAACTTATTAATCTTTCATTATCACCTAATCTTCATCAATTGAATTATTGGTTTCACATGTTTAGAATAAGTTTTCTTATAAATTATTATTGATAAATTGATTTTGTTATTAAATATTACTGAATTCTTTCATCTCATAAAAATCATCCTTATTTTAAAAAGAGATATATAATGATAAATAGGTTTATAAGGATTGTTATAATTGCTTACATAACAAATGATTCTATTAAGTAAAGTTATCATGTAATTATTTGAATTAATGAATAACAATATCTTATTGATTTAACTATTAAACAAAAATGGAGTGTTCTTTAAATCTCTTCTAATAAATCTACATAATTTCATTAAATGGACCCATAGCCATAAATTCTATAATATTGAATTCATTAGATAGAATATCATCTTCCATCTTTTTTAATGATTCAATAGTAGAACGTATTTAATATTATTCAGCATTTATACATTTTTCAATTTATTTAAGCATCTCACTCTAAATTCTAAATATTTAATATATACCTTCAATTAAAGTAAAGGTTAAATAGTTTCATCAAATATTCTCTCTATATATTGTTACATATCTGAGATTTTAATATTCTCTAAATTTAGTTTTGTTTATGTTATCAACTATTTAAATTATGATATTTATTCATGTCTAATCTCCTTTTCTCTTAATTCAGGACTTTAAGTACTCTAAATTGATATATTATATTAATATTATACTGTATATGTTGATAATGATATTGTCTTAAGTTTTGGAGATGGATGTATTGTCTAATTTAATGAATTATATTGATTTGTGTTCATTCTTTTTTCTTCATTGCCTTCATTTTAATCATCTTCAATACCTATACAATTGTTAAAATTCAATTTCACTCCTGCATAGCAATTCTATTATGTTAATATTGGATTTGTTCTATTTTATATTTTCATTAATGATTTCAATATTTAACTTTCTTTATATTAATATTTAGTGTACAATTATGAAGTTTCTAATCTGATGCTTAAGTTGAAATGTTTTTCTTTGGTTGATTTGGTGTTTGATGTTACATTTCATTTAAAAGTGATCTGTTTGAATATGAACTTTTCTCCAAAGAAGATGTCTTTTATTTACTCTTATTTAGATATGAAAATTTTTAGTTATGAATTGCTTTCATGTTTTCTTTCATTAATGGACTCTTGCGCATTAAAATATATTTTTAACAACTTTTTTTA